ATTTTTTTTATAATATCTTTTATAAATATAATACTATATTAAATATATAAATACATCTACATTTATCGCGTGCGATTCAAAAAGACAAACACAAACACTGCATCTTCGATTTATGGATCGGATATCATTACCGCTTCAAAGTTCAAAATCTTGAATTTTGCATTCTCCTGCTTAACTTCGTCAAAACAATATTTAAAAAAAGAAAAAGAAAAGACCCGGACCCAGAAGTGGAGACCCATTACGAGCCCAATCGATCCAACGCGGCTCGAGCCTTGTCCGAGCCAGGCTGGATCCTAATTGCCTGCTCGTAAGCCGCTTTAGCTTCATCTCTCATCTTCTTCGCCGCATAACACTCTCCCAACAAGCAGAACGCCTTGGCGTTATCCGGACTCAATTCCACTGCCGCCGTCAAATCCTCAATCACAGAGTCATCCCTGTTACCGCGCCGGCTCATTGATATCTTCAGCTCCGCTCGCTTGAGCAGAGCATCCCCTCTCTCCGCATCACTCAACGACTTGGCAGCCGGCGGCCGGAGGGCCGTATCAAAGGATTCAAGGGCAGAAGATTTGAATCCCTGGAGATCCAGAGCGAGGGCTTTGAGGATATGAGTGGCGGCGTCTTTGGAGTCGAGAGAAATGGCTAAGTTGGCTTCAGATTCGGCTTGTTTGGCTAAGGAGATGGCGGAGGAGCGGGAGTTGGAAGATCTAGCTTGGGCGAGAAGCTGGGCACCGAGGACGAAGTGGCGCTTGGCTTGGAAATCGGCGCGGTTCCGGTAACGGAGCTTGGTGAGGAACTTTTGGGGGATGTTGTGCATAACGAGGAACATGAAGATGGTTAGGAGGATCAAACCTGCCTGCAAAAGAAGGTCGGTCCACATCTCTCCTCTGTGTTTCTCTCTCTGCAACTGGGGCTTTAGGATAAGGAGAAGATCGAACAGGGAAAACGGAGACGAGAATCACGAGATAAAATGGAGCAGAGGGATATTGGACTTTTTAGCGTGGGCCCGTTAGATTCAGGTTACTTCTTTTCTTTTTTTTTTCTTTTTTTTTTGAGGGAGGAAATGATCAGATTATGTGGAAGTCAGATTATGTGGAAGTATTGTTGTTTTTAGGGACAAGTAAAAATGGGTTTCGGTTTAAAATAATCGAAATTTTTTATTTTTAATTTTGATAATCGAAATTGAATCAAAACTTTTACAAATCGATTGGTTCAGTTATTAATAAAAGTAGTTTAATTTTAGTTTTTAATAAATAAATATTTATTAATTATTTTTTAATAATAAATTATATTTTATCATATTTTATTTTGTTTTATCATATTTATTTTAATTTTAATTTTTAAGAGATTTATTTTTAATTTTTAATTTTTAAAAATTTAATCGAAATTAAATCAAAATTTAATTCAATTGTTATCAAAATTAAAAACCATTGAAATTAAACCGAATTCATTTTTTTCGATTCAATTTTCGGATAACCCATTTATTCGGTTTAAAATGCCCAGCCCTAATTGCTTTGTAGGAGGGTGCAACCTTGCAGCAGCTGAGTCCATTTCGACTGCTACCAACGGGCGTGTTCACCGTTGGACCACATGAAGAGTTGCTACCTTTAATGTTGGTTGACTTGAATTTTTACGCAGCCTTAGGCCTGGTGGTGGAAAGTACAGCATGGTACAGCTAGAGTATCATCTACTCCAAAAACCAAATGGAACGCACCGTATCAACTATGAGGCTCTTCAAGCCTCCTTTTTCTTCTTTTTTTTTTTTTTTTGTTTTTGTCTTTGTCTTTAAATCATAGTGCTCCTTGTAAGGGGTAGACTCCATACACCCCCTCATGGAAAGCATAGCATGAAGAGGGGGTTTTTTTTTCTCTTTTTTTTTTTAAATTCATACAAACAAGAGTGAGTTGTTTTTGGTACAGAAGTGAATATCATTACAACCCACGTCAAATGTTAAAGAATGCAGAAATTGAAGAATGAAAAAGGCACTCCAAAATAAACTAACCAACCAAGCCAAACAAGATCCGTCACATTTTGTTCCCACCACAGGGCAATCATTCTAATTTTTTCTCCTTTTTCTTTTTAATTAAAATTTAAAAATTAACTGTTGAACATTAAAAAGACTTAAACTTTTAACCTTATCTCAAATTAAGATTTTTAAGTCAATTGATACCAAATTGATCATACAAGCATTCTGATTTCAAATCATTTCCATATGCTAAATATCCTTCCCAGGAGTTTTAATATCATTACAACAGGCATTTGATAACAACAACATTACAGACTTGCTGATATTACAAGTACAGACGCAAATTCCGAGCTCTTAAACCTTTCGGATTTGCTTGTTGATACAGCTTCTAGGAAAGCTCTCCCGTAGAAAGCCTCTATATAAAAACATAGCAATGGTTTCCATATTTTCTACGGTTGTTATAGTCACCATTGCAATGTGTTCGATGATACTCTACGGGGGTAGGTAGGAAACACATCTACAGTTGCCTCGAACCAAAATGGTTCTAGGTTAGTGCAACATGATTACTAAGATGCGCTGTTGCCATAGTTAAGCTAAATCTTGACTACATGTAAAAATAGTAAACTGAATGACCCAAATCGGTTGAAGTGAGTAATTCTGCAATAAAAAGGGCAGGTTCAGTTAGTTAATGATGCTCTTCACCGCTCACCAGCTCTCAGCATCACAACTGCAGTGGAGACTTGATCAACTTCTTTAGTGTCTCAACTATATTGGCAAAAGATGGACGCTGGGCAGGATCACTACCAAGGAAAATAAACACCCATCAGCAATTCATGTAAGGAACACCTTGAATACAACATTATATAATGGGGCTGTAGCAGAGACCACTAATGATGTCAAGATAAAATGTGAATGTGACAACAAACAACGGTAAAACATAAGAAATAGTCTTCACTGGAGATCGGGCAAAGCCCCAATTTCAATGGAAGATATGTAGTACCACTATAAATGAATCATAATGCATGAAACACTCACTCAGCCCAGCAAGATTCCATGAGAGAAGCCAATACAGGGGAGGTATTTGGGGGAATTGTGAGCCTTCTATTCTGGAATGCAACAGCACCGACTACCTGAAAATTTCAAACCCCATAAGATGCAAACCAGGTAATGACAGAAAGAAAAGTTCTATAATGCTAAAACGGTTAACTTACATCCAAATTTTTAGACATATGAGAAGAGAACATCACAATAGGGAGAAAAATAAATACTAAATCGGATTCATATTCCTTTAGAGCTACCTGAGCAGGACCAAGTCCATTCCAAGGTTGTTCCATGGTCACAAGCTCCCACAGGATCACTCCAAAACTATAAACATCTGATTTCTCATTTGAAGGCTCTCCGCGAAGGAATTCTGGAGCCATCCACTCAGGCTGAAAATAAAAGCAAAAGAGTTACATGTCCATTGATGCACGAGGAGTAATTTTTCAAGATTCAACCTGTGAAATATTGATGGATTTATCTGACTTCTATGTTGTACAAAGATGAGCCCACAATTATGAAATATATGCAAGATTTGAATAAATCAGATCCGACCATACTTAACAACAGATCTTTAATGATGCATGCAGTTGTTCTCTTCGCAAAGGATATCACAACATCATTTTGTAGACATTCAGATCTCCAGGCAAGTCGAAACATATTCAAAAATTCTGCAGATTTGATCTTATTATTCACACTTTTAACAATTGATGCAATTAACAGTCAAACATGTAAAAGTCAATTAGACCAAATTGCTTTCAAAAGCGTGCTCAAGTAACAATTCACCTACGTGTTTGAAGAAGGCAGGAAGAAGGGACTTACTGTTCCTGCAACAGATTTTGAGGAAATGAAAGTGTTTGCTTTAAATCTGGACAACCCAAAATCACACACCTGCCATCACAGGCAACAATGAATTTCTGTACCAAATAAAAGTTTCTCAAATCAAAAGATCATTTTGTTGTACCTTAACCGTCCAATTCTTATCAACCAACAGATTTGGAGATTTAAGGTCCCAGTGAACTATAGGAGGACTCAAACAATGAAGGTAGTTGATTCCCTTTGCCTGCTTCCAGCATAAAATGTAAGCTTTGTGCCACCATTAAGTAGCATCAGTAGATAAGATGTGGAAAAGAAAAGAAAATAGCACTGACCACATCCAGTGCCATGCGCAATCGTCTCCTCTGATCAAGTATTTCCCCAGCAGTAGGTCTGTGAATGAGACGGTATAAACTACCCCTGTTTCAAAACCACAAATTAGGAGTTAAGTATGTATATGGTTGGACAAACAATAATAGCTGCACGAATTCTAGAATTGAACAGGATGATATACCTTGGCAAATATTCTGTCACAATTGACAGATTAGGTCGTTTTGTAACTGCACCCATGAAAAGTACCACATTTGGATGTCGTACACGCTTCATTATTGCAACCTGAATAAAAATGCACTTTATATCATGTTATACTCATATTAAAGGCTTAAAGCATCATTCATGATTCACAACAGACATGCAAAATGAAAATAATTTACTCACAAGGCCGAAAGTTAACAAAAGCATGCATATAAATTTTATAGTTGGATAAGATTTCATATAAATTTTATACTTGGAAAGGGTTTCCCTTTGGTTTTTGACATGGTTCCCATGCCCAACTTTGATTGTTTGGTCAAACAGACCACATACTATGGAGCACAATAAACCAAATAAAATGAAAATGAAGGGGACGGGGAGGCATAACTTGAAGCTATACCAGTACTCAAATATCATACCTGCAAAACATGTTAATAGAGCACCAATGGAAGAATAAGTAACAAAATAATGTAAAATTTTATGAGAAATAATGAGTGAAACTTATATAAGTTCAGAAATGCAAAAGGAAAAAGCCACAACATGCATTAGAACAGCAGACACTGGATATCAGCAGAGTGAAGGTTGATAATGACAATTGGCTGCATCGAGGGTGGATCCTTAAAAAATATTCGGATTTAAATGTTTTATCCAGTAAATACCTCTCTTAGGAACTCTTTCAACTGATCATCATGAAAATCTTGAACAGTTAAGACCTTGACTGCAACATCCTGCATTATAACAGAAAATAGTTCACTTGATGAAAGCAGTAACAAAAGAAGGACTACATGATAACTATAAAATTTACTTAATAACAAGGCACAAATACTAACTGATCCATGCCATTCAGCACGATGCACTGTTCCAAAAGAACCTGTGAGCAGGACAAGATATACAAAAATCAGGCAACTGTTTTTTTGTCAAAAATGTAAAATTTAAGGCTCAAAAACAGAAATATCCAACAAGGAAAAAGCATGAGAGGTACCAGCACCAATTCGCTCCTTTATATGCAAGTCATCCCATGAGATCTCAAGCCAATCCATTGCAAGAGAAGGCTCAAGATTTAGATATCTTGGGATGGCTGCAGAAGGAAATTTGCCCTTCTTATCCACTCCAGTTTCAACACGTTCCACATCTGACTGACTGGACAAATTAACTTTGCGCTGCTTGATACTGTTTATGGCTTGGCTTCCAGAAACAATTATGTCTTTTTTCTGTGGCTGTTGCATGATAACTTCATCTCCACCAATTCCAGAATTTGCGTGCATCATTTCCCCATCAGCAGCTTCCTCTTTTTCAAGAGAAGCTTCATCAACTTGAGCATACAATGAGCCCTTTTGATTTCCAAATAAACCATTAACTTCTTGATCTTGACATTCATAAGAAGTACCTACATGAGGATATCCATTGTTTAAATATACTGCAAGCAGTTTGCAGAAACACAAGTTACACAACTTGAAGAAAATTACTGGAAGGACCAGAACCAAGGGCGCTGAAACAGCTAATATTTACTATATCTTAACATCTATGGTCAGAACAGCGCGCATCCCATTGGACACAATTACATCACTCCATTTTCAATTGAGACATCAATAGAATCAGAAAGTTATGACCCTACCGCAAACCATCCCCACATGGACTTCTCAAGGCATGTTATTAAAGTAACGATATGGCATACCTGAATGCTGAGGATGATTCTCTGGGAAAGAACATGAATTTTCCGAGTCTATTATCTGACATGACGACAAATCATCCATATAAGGTTGTTGGAAATCTTTTAGATGAGAAATTTCAAGTGGCGAAGGCACTGGAGAAGAGAAGCTTCCATTGATTGAGGAATCAGGACCATGGACATTTCCTGGTTCCCCAACTAGATCAACAACATATTCCCTATTAAGAAAACAACCACAACAGTCAAGAGCACAGCAAGAACAAATAAAAAGAACATTTGGAGATGTAATAAAGTCTAACCTAAGAACATCTTCATCCCCAACCATTCCCCACCCCCCACCCCCCCCTCCCAATCCAAAAAAAGAAAAGAAAAAAAGAGAAGAACATTGAAGAAGATTTTATTTTAAATTACAGAACACAACAGCAATTAGTGATAAGGCAGGCACTCAAATCATGACCAGGTTTGAGAAAATTTCAGTTTAACGCAACTCAAAACAAGCAAATGATAAAATTAGTACAAATAGCAAAGCCAGTGGAACTCTTTATATTCCTTTCTATTATTACTCATCAAATGAATGGCATCTTGTACTGGAAATTCCAGCTATTCTTAGCATGATACAGAGAAATCTCATTGCTATTACTCAAACAAGCATGACACGTATGCTTGCATATTTGTCCTAAGGTCAAATACGATAAGTAATTATTAAAATAATTGTTAGAATACTAGTTTTGGCAGTTCATATCATCAATGTATATGGTGTTTTAATCTAAGATTTCAATTCTTCCATGTTTCTACATTATAAAAGTTAGATCAATTGGTCAACATCTATTGTACGAGTTTAAATAAGAAATGTTTCCTCAATGTTAATGTTTTAAAATTAAGTCAAAAGGACAGACTAATTAATTCCTTTCCCAGTCAGCCTTGTTCTTCCCAAGTAGCAACATTTTGTTTGCATAAATATCAGCATACAAGGACAATCAATTATCCAACCTTGAGAACTTCCTCTCATCTTCAATTTTGACAAGGCAAGAAGATCGATGATCTGATGCACAATATTTGCAGCCTTTAGCTATCCGACATGGCAAACCAATGTAGTCTGCCAATTTCTGCAAGTGCAAGACCACATCTAGTTAGTTGCCAATTCTAAAATACATTTTTACAGAAAAAATTGTGAT